TACAGGAGGGCAGCAAGGGAAGTTTAAAACACACAGATGATTCACAGAGACGTCAGAAAACGTAAAGTGGAATGAATTGGACAAAGAAATGGAAGATGCAGGATCAACACACAGATTTAAGAATAAGTATGACATAGCTCCCGAAGCTAAGAATGAATCCAGTAACGCCCAATTTAAGAGGCAGGGCCAGGAGCTGAGACAACCTCTGCAGCATTAATAGGCCAGTAGGTGAGTAACGCCTCATACAATCTTCCGTATATCATATGAATGTTCCAGTGATCTGAAATTTCATAGTCCTTGTCGTCCAAGATAACAGTTTATGGCTCTCCTTAGAGCAGGCCTTGACACACACACACACCAGCTAAACCTGAAGCTCCAGCTGAGCCTCAAGCAGCAGCAGCTGCACATAACAGGACACACACACAACTACCATAATGTACCCCCTAAGAGGAGCATTTTAGCCGTGTCGTGTGTAATATGTGTGAAGGCAGCACCATGCGCTAACACGCCTGGCAAACACTGCGTTTTATCACCCCTTTTAACACACGCTTTAAAGTTCTTGTCCTGAAGAATTTTAATTTACGCATATAATAGTATTTTTTATATCGTGATTTCACATAAACACACACACACACACACACACACACCTGCAACCTCAACTAGGCGAGTACAACTAGGAGAGTACAACTAGGCGAGTACATACATACACATACGACTGTTAACCGAAAAGTTAGTGCTTCGCGGGCTGAAGCTGTTACTTGACCTCTGCAACCACATATATGTGAGTATATGCAAGTAAATACACGACACTGTACACGGTGTATGTCAGGCCTATACTGAATATGCAGCACCAGTACGAAACCCAGACCCGGTAAAGGATGTCGAGAAATTGGGGTATGTTCTATGACGAGAGGTTGGGGAACTCAACCTGATGACACTAGAGGAAAGAAGGACAAGGAATGATATAACAGAGAAAATACTGAGAGAAATTGCTAAGGTGGAGAGGGACAGATTGTCTGAGATGCGGCAAATTGGAAGACATGAGCAAAGCTGGAAGTTGATTTATTATTATAATCAAGGGGGAAGCGCTAAACCCGTAAGATTATACAGCGCCTGAGGGGGGGGATGTGGAAGGTATTCAGGTTTAATTCAGGGAACTGGAGAACAGATCCAATTCCCTAGATCAAGAGCCGCTCAAGGAACCTTCCTTGCGGGGGATGGAAGTTGAAAACACAGACAATTACAGAGATGTTAGGAAGTAATTCTTCAGTCTTAGTCAGGAAGTGGAACGACCCGGAGAACGAAGTGACAAAAGCAGTATACATATATAGCTTTAAGAGGTACGATAAGGCTCTCGAAGCCAAGAGTGTGTTAACCAAGCAGCGACCAGCGAAGAGGCGGAGCCAGGAGCGCAGACACGATCCCTGCAACCACATAAATGCGAGTATATTATAATATATATATCCCGTTACTATATCCTTTAAAACTCACCCAATATTATTTTTGACCATGATTGTTTTTAGCTGATAATATCTTATCGATGTGATAAGTGGATGGGAGATTTACGGGGATTAATTCCTGAATATATATACAAGTAACCAGCACATACGAAGGATGAACTTACGACGACGTTTGTATATGTATGTGTGAAATATATATATATATATATATAAATATTATATATAATATATAATATATATATATATATATATATAATATATATTATTATATATATATATATATATATATAAAAAATTATGTCTCAGTCCACGACAGGACTGAACCTGCAAACTCTGAAATCAGAGTAACAGTAACTTTAACCCACAACGCCAGACTCCAGATAAGTATGGGTACCTACCGAAGCTAGAGGGTGTGTTAGAGTTTGCGGGTTCGAATCCTGCTGTGGGCTAAAGAGATGATGTTTGGAAAAATTTTCGCGTGCGCGCGATATATATATAAAATAATATATATTTTATATATATATTTTATATATTATATAATATATATATATATATATTTTATATATAAACAATCGAAAGACGGGCGATTCTAACTAGGCAGGACAAGCCATGGGGATGGGGGGGGGGGGTATGGAATCTTTAGCTCAAGTACTTTCACACCTCTCAGTGCGTCTCAGCTGTGCAATGTTGCAAGAAAGGGGAGAAACCCAAAGCAGGGAGGAGGTCTCAGAGAAAGCTTAGGTGTCACTGGCCACGGTTACCCTGAACTGTAACGCCATCGGCCGTATTCCAAACCCAGGATTAAATAATAAAATACAGGAGAAGGGTTAATAGCCCCTTGCTCCTTGCATTTTTGTCGCTCTTACGACACGCATGACTTACGGGGAAAGAAATTCTGTTTTCCCCTTCGCATGGAGAACATATATATATTATATAAAATTTAAAATTAAAATATAATAATATATATTTTATATAAATATATAAAAATAACATGTTATATATAATATATATATACATTGTAAATTTTTATATAAAAAATATAAAATATATAATATAATTATATATATAAAATTATAATTAAAATATATATAATATATATATATATATATATAAATATTTTATATATATATATATAATATTTGTATATAAATTTAAACAAAGTCGGCCGTCTCCACCGAGGGAGGGTGACCCAAAAAAAAGAAAAATCCCAAAAAAAGAAATAATTTCATCATATTCAACACTTTTTACCTCAATCAAACATAATCAACTGTTTTTGCAGAGGTGTCAAACACAACAGTTTAGAAGATATTACGTATAAAAATAAAACCCAAAATATCCCTCAAAACTGTAAATATCCCAACCCTCCTTTTAGAGTTGAGCATTTTACTTCCCATTTCCAGACTCAAGTCCGGGTAATATAAAAATAACCGTTTCCCCAATCCTTCACTAAATATTACCCTGTCTCAAAACCAACAATCGTCAGGTCCAAATAAACCCTTTTGTCTCCATTCACTCTAAACGAAAACGCTCATGCACGCCCGCTGGAAGTCCAAGCCCCTCGCCCACAAAACTCCCTTAAAACCCCTCAAACCTTTCGAGACGACCCCTCCCCGCCCTTCTTTCCCCTACTTATTTAAATGCTTCACATGTCATTCTACTTTGAACCATTCTTCTCTAAAGACCAAACCACCTCAACAACCCCTCTCAGGGGCCTTGATCTATATTTTATTAACTTCCCCAACTTTAATTTCCACACCTCCCCAATTTCTGCATAATATTTACCACCACACATTGCCCTAGACAGGACATCTCCACTGCCCCCAACCGCCTCCTCTCTTGCTTTCATTCACAACCCAAGCTCACAAACCCATATAAGAGTGTTGTACTAATATACTTTTTATACATTCCCTTCTTTCCTTCCCAAAATAAAAGTTTTTTTGCTCCACATTTATTAAAACCCCAAACGCACACCTCACCTTTTTTTCCTCATCAATTCTGTGATTACTCCCATCCTTCATAATTCTCCGCCTCCAAAGTCAACTCCAAGTATCTAAAACATTCCTTCTTCCAATTCCTCCTCCCCCAATTTGATATCCAATTTTATCTTATCTAAAAATTTGATACCTTTATCATTTCTCTTTCTATGTTCACTTTCAACTTTCCCACCTTACACACACTCCAAACTCATCCACTAACCTTTTCATTTTTTTCTTTAGAATCTTCCATAACCCCAGTAAACCGTCAGCAAAAAGCAACTGTGTCATTCCCATTTGTAATTTGATTCCCATAATTTTCCAACCCCCCCCCCCCCCCAAACCCCCCTCTCCCGAATACCTAGCATTTTACTTCTTTTACAACCCCATCTATAAATATATTAAAACAACCATGGTGACTTTACACTTTCCCTGTCTAAGACCTACTTTTACCCGGGAAGTATTCTCCCTCTCTTCTACACACCCTAACCTGAGCCTCACTATCCTCATAAAAGCTCTTTACAGCATTTAGTAACTTACCACCTATTCCATAACTTGCACATCTGCCCACATTGCTCCTCTATCCACTATCATATGCCTTTTCTAAATCCATAAATGCAATAAAAACTTCCCTACCTTTATCTAAATACTGTTCACATATATGCTTCAATGTTAAACACTTGATCTACACATCCCCTACCCCACTCTGAAGCCTCCTTTGCTCATCCGCAATCCTACATTCTGTCTTACCTCTAAAATTTTTTCAATTATAACCCTACCGTACACTTTTCCTGGTATACTCAGTTAAACTTATTCCTCATATTTTTACAATCTCTTTTGTCCCCCTTCCCTTTATATAAAGGACCTATAATGCTCTCCCTACCCTTAACTTCCCTCTTTCCATACCTTCATTAAACAAAAATACCACCACTCCAACACTATAACCCCCTGCTTTAACAATTTTAACATTGCTTTCGGAAGCCAGCAGAAACTCGGATGGGTTTTTTCCTTCCTCGGCTTCAATTATAGTCCTAGTCGTTTCATTCTTGTCAACCTTAATGCCAGCCACCACAAAACATATTAATATTCACAATCCATTGAAACAAGCGACACTGGTTACACTTTCCCTACTGGTTTTAATTTTTGTATACTCAATATTTTCTTCTCTTTTCTAGTACATACATATAGAATATCATGCATACATTGTGTATACTATAAAATATATATGGTATAGTGTACAATAATAAATTGATAAAAAGGTTTAAAAGGTTCAATGCATTTTGCAAATATTTTGCATCAATTATAAATTTTATATAAAAATATATATTTTAAATATATATAATATATATATAATATATATATAATATATATATATATATATATAATATTTTATTATTAAACTCACATCGAGGTACAGTGCTAAAATAAACCTTTAAATGTTCAAATTGGATTCCACATCAAAAAAATGTAACTTTCTACATTGTGCAATTTCTTGACAACGGTGCATGTGTGCGAGTGATCAAAGAAAAACTTGGGTGCTGTGGTGCTGTACAATCATCACACAAACCTCCTCCGAAAGTGACGACGGTCCTGGAGAAGGTCTTGACCAGTGCCTGTCCGTCGTCCAGGTCCCCGTCCTTGTCCACGCCCGCGCCCCTCACTCTTATCAAAGTCCTTTTCTTTACCCTGCGTCTACCCGGCTGTTGGCTGTCCCTATCATCGTCACTACAACAGTCCTTTTCGCCGTCATCATCACCAGAGTCATCACCACCTTGACCCCAATGGCCAGGACGCGATCGTTTGCCTTCTACCTTTTCTCCTTTCACGGTGGCATCGTTACCGTCGTTTTCGTCATCTTCCGGCACGTTTTCAGTGCTAACTTCTATGCTGGATCTGTGTTGGAGTTTATATGGAGAATCTGCACTTTTCTCTTTGCCCTGTTTTGGTCCGCTTCTGTTAGAGTATGAAAGTTTGGTTCTCTGTTCTACCTTTACGTTATCTTCGTGTTCTTGTGGGGTTTTTGTTTTTTTATCACTTCCTTCTGTTTGCCACGGAGAGAACTTCACCTCCACTTTTCCCCTCTTCTTCGATTGTGGTTTAGCATTTCCAGTCTTGGAGTCCCGGTCATGATCGTCACTGTCCCGCTTTGATGTTACAGTCACCTCAATCTTCCTGGGTTCGTCAAAATCGTAAATACATGTTTCGCTCTCTCTCGTGAAAGTGTCATATTCTCTGTCATCATCCTTGGGGATCTGAGGCTTAGCCAACATATTAACGTTTTCAATGCTCTCATACAAGTTACTTTCTTCGTCTTGATCACCTACCTTCTTTATTTCATCCTTAACTTCGCTAGCCTCCCTCTTTTCTTCATCTTCATCTAATGTGGAACTGCTGTCCCTCTTTGGTATAGCACCTTTTGAATAAAGGCTGCTATTTACTTCATCCTCATCAGACTTCTCTACGCCATTTTCTCCCTCGAACCTCACTCTCATACCTTTCTTCCCAACCTCCTCATATATCCTTTCCGAGTCTTTATCTAAATCCTTATAAATGAGACCACTGGCATCTTCATAATCCGCATCTTCTTCCAACTCTACGTTGAGGTCCTTGTCATCACAGGCGACGTCGTACTGATAAGGATCAGGGGTCAGAACTGACTCACCAGATTCACCGTGTGACTCTACCGGAGTTACCCCTTCACCGTCACCCCTCTCACCTTGTTTTCTCTCAGCACTATCGTCCTCCCGCTTTCTATGGTAAGCCCAGCCATGACTCGTCACACTTCCGTCTCCCCTACGCACCGTCACCCGAACCTTGACTCGCCGTCGGGTTATGATTCTCATTATGCTCACTAACGTGTCACCTACGCTGGTAGGACAGAGATACCACTCTCTATGTTATTTATACTGTCCAAAATATTTCTGAAAAAAAAAATCACTAAGACAAACACAACAAGTATTTAGCTTCAGATTAAATCTAAGTTAACCTAGGTAATTTACACTGTGTATAATAATTGTACTTATGTTCACCTGTACCTAAAGAAATTCACTTTGTACAATATGTGGGCCTACAACACCTGTGTATCCTTAAGTTCACTGAATAAACTTATACTTTGTAAACAAAAAAAATCGAAATGCCTTTTTCCCCCCTTACACCATACTTTCATCTTATAAAATCCCTCAATCTTGTGGAGATGATTTTTTCAAGGACTTCACTAATGACTTCAAATAAGGAGATAGGTCTATAGTTCTCAATTTCGACTCACAATTTCCATATATTACAAAAAAACAAATTAATATCAAGCGTACATTACAGAAGCTTCCTGCAAGAGGAGAGCGACCGCAGGAATATTTAACGTTTATGCAAATAAGTAACATTGTCTGCCTAACAGGATTTCTAGGTCAAATTTGCATAATGTATGTGTGGTGTGTGTGGTGTGGTTATACTAAATTTGGTTTTTACCCA